GGGATGTAGCTCAGCAGTAGAATCTGTTTAGAATACTCGAACAATCCACTTTTATACAATATTCTTACAAGAGAGCTTGCTAACCTGTCTATACAAGCTAAACAAATTCACTAACAATTAATGTAACCCCTCTCCCCATGTGACTTTTGTCTTTAAAACCTCTTTGAAATCGCTACAGAAGAAGCACATGTTCAATTTTGCTTAAATTTGTATTACTGCAGAATGCAACATTGATCAGCCTAAAATAACTCATTTCTTATCTTATAAGAGTTGACAACTCCAGTATTACAAAAAGCAACATTTCTTGTAGTAGACTATTCACTGATGTGGATAAATTGTGCAAAGCCAGGATTTCTCACTGAAAAAACTGATCTGTAATAAAAGTATGTGGAAAAAAAAATCATACATAATATTAAAACAAACAAAAAAAAATCAACAAAACCACAGATGCCAACATTTTGGGGTTAAGTCACTTTTCAGGAATTTCAGAAGTGTAATGATTTAGTCAACCTATAGTAGCTCCTTTTCTATTCTTAGTTAAGAAATTACACTATCAGGGCTGGGGATGTGGCTCAAGTGGCAGCTCGCTCGCCTGGCATGCTTGTGGCCCAGGTTCGATCCTCAGCACCACATACAAAGATGTTGTCTCGGCCAAAAACTAAAAAATAAATATTAAAATTCTCTCTCAAAAAAAAAAAAAATTGTACTATCAGTCCTTAAAATTGGACTTCTAGAATCAATTGTTTTAAATTTTATATTATTTATTTCAAAATTCTAGCTAGTATTAAAAAAATAAATAAAAACTAAAATGTAACAGTTAATATTTGGAAACTTACTATACATCAAGAATAGCACAAGGCCAGGCGTGGTGGTGGTGTATGCCTATAATCCCAGTGACTCCCTAGCTGAGGCAGGAGGATTGGAAATTTGAGACTAGCTTCAGCAATTTAGTGAAGCCCTAAACACTTGAGACCCTGTCTCAAAATTCAAAAAAGGGCTAGGAATTGGCTCAGTGGTAAAGCGCTCCTGAATTAAATCCCTGGTACCAAAAAAGAACTGTGCCGAATGCTTTGATTACAAAATCTCATTTAAGTGTCCTAACAAATTAATGAGTTCAACAATCCTCCCTTGGGTGTAGTAGTGGTTTGTAAGGGCAGACAACTCTATACAATTCCAAAGACACAGGCCAAAAAGACAGATCAGGCTGGCATGATGGTACATGCTTATAATCCCACCCACTTGGGTGGCTGAGGCAGGAGGATCTGAAGTTTGAGGCTGAGCTCAGTGCCTAGGTCCTCCACAATTCAGTGAGAACCTGTCCTAAACTAAAAAATAAAATTGGCCAAATTTTATTGTTATAGTGTACATGTATATCGAATATGTAACAAACCCATTATTATGTACAACTATCATTGTTGATTATATATATATATATTGTGTATGTATACTGAATATGTAACAACAAATTCCATCATCATGTAGTAATAATATGAAAAAAAACTAGACCAAAAAAAACAAGTAAAAAAATAAAAAGGACTACAGATATAGCTCAATGATAAAGTACACCTGGGTTCAATTCCAAGTACCAAAAAAAAAAAAGACAAGATTATATTGACTCATGGTTTCCTTCCTTCCAATACTAGGGATTAAACCCAGGGGTGCTGTGCCGTACCACTGAGCAACATTTCCAGACCTTTTTATTTTGAGGCAGGATCTAACTTGCTAAGTGTCTCACTAAATCACTGAGGCTGTCCTCAAACTTGCAATCCTCTGTCCCAGCCTCCAACATCATGAGGATTACACAACCATGTCAGGCTTGGCTCCTGGCTTTAGAGGTTTCAGTCCATGTTCATTTGGCCCCATCACTGTGATAGTGCAGAACATGATGGAGCACATCTGCTCACCTCATTTCTGGAAAGCAGAGAGGGAGAAAGAGGGATAAGGGACTAGATATAGTTCCAAAGCCATGTCCCCAAGAACCCACTCCCTTCAACTTGGTCCTATCTCCTAAAGTTCCCAATAATACATTCAGCCATGAATCCCTCAATGCATCCCACAGATGAGCTCAGAACCCTCATGATTCCCAAAAGTCCCACTTCTGTATCTCTATATTGGGAACCAAGCCTTCAATAGATGGTTGGGAATTGGGAATCATTCCTGATACCATAATAATGGTGAAAGAACGACTGCTTTCTCTGTAAAAGATCAGGAGTAACATGAGGATTCCACCTTGCCACCTTGCCACTTCTATTCAATATTTTACTAGAGGTTCTAGCCATTGCAGTTATACCCCCAAAGTATCCAGATTGGAACTGAACTAAAACTACCCTGTCATTTGCAGATACATAATAATTATATAGAAAATCCTATTAGAGCTGGGGATGTGGCTCAAGCGGTAGCGCACTCGCCTGGCATTCGTGCGGCCCAGATTCAATCCTCACCACCACATACCAACAAAGATGTTGTGTCCGCCGAGAACTAAAAAATAAATATTAAAAATTCTCTCTCTCTCTCTCTCTCCTCTATCACTCTCTCTTTAAAAAAAGAAAAAAGAAAATCCTATTAAATCCACTAAAAAACTAATAGAATTAAGAAACTAGTTTGAGGGGCTGGGGATGTGGCTCAAGCGGTAGCGCGCTCGCCTGGCATGCGTGCGGCCCGGGTTCGATCCTCAGCAGCACCACATACCAACAAAGATGTTGTGTCCGCCAAGAACTAAGAAAAAATAAATAAATGTTAAAATTCTCTCTCTCTCTCTGTCCCCCTCTCTCACTCTCTCTTTAAAAAAATAAAAATAAAAAAAAATAAAAAAAAAAAGAAACTAGTTTGACTAGGTTACAGAATAAAAATTGAGAATTTGGGGCTAGAATCATGGCTCAGTGATACAGTGCTTGCCTAGTGAATATAAGGCACTGGGTTTGATCATCAGGACCACATAAAAATAGTTATGTCCATCTACAACTAAAAATATATTTTTTTAAAAAATAAGGATTTTACAGAAATTGAAGATTTCATCCTAAAATTCATATGAAAAGAGTGAGATTCAAAACAATCTTAAAAAAGCAAACTTGGAAAACTTATACTTGAAATTTGGAACTTAGTACAAAACAGTAAACAAGAACACTGGGATATTCATGTAAGATAGGCTTTGGTCAATAGAAAGCCAGAACCCATAAATAAACCCTCACATTTATGATCACTAATAAGGAATAAGTACATTTAAAAACAACCTAGCCGGGGCCGGAGTTATGGCTCACTGGTAGAGTGCTTGCCTAGCATGCATGAGGCACTGGGTTCGATCTCCAGCACCAGATACAAAATAAATAAAATGAAGGTATTGTGTCCATCTATAACTAAAAAAATTTTAAAAATAAAAACTAGCCATATGTACATGAAAACATTTTTAACTTAACTAAGCATCAGGAAACTGCCTATAATTTCAGGGGTTGGGGCAAGAGGATCACAAGTTCAAAATCAGTCTAAGCAACATAGCAAGGCCCTAAGCAACTCAATAAAACCCCATTTCTAAATAAAATATTAAAAAGGGCTAGAGATGTAGCTTAGTCATCAAGTGCCCTGGTACCAAAAAGGAAAAAAAAAATAGCAATCTGCTTATGGTTTCTGTTTAAGAAATCACACCATCCAATTAAGTTTTAACAGTGATATTTTCATCTCAAGACTCTACAAAAGAAGCCTTGTAATTTGATACATCTCAAGAGAATCTCAAGTCATTGTCATTAAATCTTGGCAACTATTTTTTATAACTTTGAGCACAAAAGGTACAGCTCTAATCTCATTGGAGAAATTTGCTTCAACAGGCCACTCTCCCAGTTTCCCTCATGTACAAGTACACTTAGGGCATCAAGAACTTAAGCACTGCATAGCTGCCTTCCTACATGCACTTAGAATTCTTCAAGGTCTATAAGATTACCTTTTTCTCTAAAGGGTTCCCCCCTAATGCCCCCCACAAAGTCTTGCTAAGTTGCTGAGACTGGCCTCAAACTTGTAATCCTCCTGCACCAGCCTCCTAAGTAGTTGGGGTTACAGGTATGCCCTACCACACACAACTAAAAGCTTCTTTCAAAATAAACTTTAACTTATATTTCAATAGCCAGGGTTGATGAACTATTCTTGCTTTATCTCAAACTGAATGCTTTCTATGTCAGGTTTACACAGCAGAGTATGTCTCCAATGAAAAGGAAGCGAGGCCTGCTTAGACAAAAATAAGGATTCTTGAAGTTCAACTCCATAAATACATTTTAAACAACATTAGACCAATTCCCTAAGGATTTAAGCACCTATTATATCCAAGACACTGATAATCTAGAAGGGAAGAAAGATTCCCATACAATCAAAGGTAACAGGAAAGAACAAAGCTTTGGGGCAGGATGCCCTGACCAAGATATTTATTGGAAGTAATTTTGACTTAAACCTGTAGGTAAAACCAGATGTGGCTCAATAGTGACTGGTACTATCTAACAAAATGAAAATCATGGGGATCTACAGGGATGGGTTTAAAATGACACAAAGCTCCTAAATTTAGAGCTTAAAAAAAGAAAAATGAATTTCCTATAAGACAATGTTAAAGGCATTAGGTCACAAAACACTTCCTCTAACATGACAATAGCTAATATGTACTATCATATGCCAGTAGCTGTTCTATGAGTATTCCATGTATGAAACTCATATAACCGATCACAATAATCCCATGAGGTATGCATTTTTTGTTATTCCATTTCACAGATAAGAAAATTGAAACAGAACACTGCTGTGAAGTTACATAGTCAGCAACAGAGCTGAGACCTTAAAGCAGTGTGGTATGACTTTGGGGAACAACAGCCTTCATCATTACATAAGGCTTCCTAATACACGTTGTGTGGTTACTAGAGATAAGCCTCACAGATAATTGCTTTGGCTTTATAGGACTAGTTCTCCCAGAATGGTGCTCTCCCACGACCCCCCATGCTAAAAACATTCAATATAGGCATAGTGGTGCACACCTGTAATTTCAGCAACTCTGGAGACTGAGGCAGAAGGATCCCAATTCAAAGCCAGCCTGAGCAACTGAGACCCTCAATAACTTGGTAAGATCTATATGCAGGAAAAAAAAAAAGAAAAAGGAGGATGTTGATGATATAGATCAGTGGTGAATCACCTATAAGTTCAATCTCTATTACAAAAATAAATAAATAAATCAAATAAGTGCCAGCACATTATGTACACCTCTGCCTAGGTAACTTCAACCAGTCACCTCACTATAAACAATCTCTTCCTGAGCTACGGGTATAGCTCAGTGGTAGAGTGCTTGCTCAGTGGGCACCAGGTCCTGGGTTGGAGGGTACGTGTTACATATGGGAAATAACAAACCCCAAAATAGTGTGGCCTAGGAAGAGGAAGAAGGCAACACATTGATCCTTTCCCAATACATTCTTTCCCAGTGTCAAAGAACGTATTGGGAAAGGAGATATCCATCAAGCCTAGAAAGACAGTTTCTGGAGGAGACCAAAGCATTGATCCTTCCCAAAATAAACCCTTTCCCAGATACTGATCACTCACACAAGACCCTCCATCTAGCCTGAAAGAACGACTAGACAAGGCTCCTTGTTGGAGAAGTGCCCATTTATTGAGGAACAGCTCTGCTTATTTATAGAGCCAGGGTGGTTTGACAGTTATGACAGTTTAACAGTTTGACAGTTGGCACAGGGCGCTTTCTTATTGGTGGGTAAGGATCATGTGAGTCAGCAAGGCTAGTATGATTGGTGGGTAAGGATCATGAGAGTCCGCAGGGCTCACCATTGTGCTGCTCTTCTAGGGGGGGATGGGGAAGTTAGTAGTCTGATTGGTGGGTAAGGATCATGTGAGTCATGTGAGTCAGCAGGGCTCACCATTGGAGGGCTCTTGGGGGGGGAGAGTTAGTCTTGGGGGGGAGGGGGAGGACTCCCAACAAAGCTCAGTAAAAAGAGTTTTCAATTTCCTGAGTGCCCAAACTGACAAACTCATTATCCAATGCTGATCGATTGAATTAACATTTTATTCCACAACAGAGAAGTTATTCTACAGTGTGAATAATTACCTGGTTAAATCAAGGTCGGTAACATAATTACTTTTAAATGACTTACTCTTTAAATACTGTATGTTTACATGTCCTTTCACAGGTCAATCCCTTCCACCCAGAGCTTTTGTTTCTTCGGTTCTAGGGACAGCAAAAAAAACATTTTGATCAATAAAAAGCACATTGCTGTGGATAGTGAATTCCTTAAGGCTGCACTGAAGGCACAATAAGTTCACTGAATTCTTATTAAGCATGCTAAAAACAGAAATATTAAACTGGGTCTGTCCACAAAATACCAGTAGGTTGGTTGGAATTCATGTGCTCCTCCAGGCCCACTATTGTCCTATCATTCCAAAACAATAATACTTTAGCAATTAAAAAAAAAACTGCGATAGTAAACATGAATTCGACTGTACAGGAATGAAAAAAACACTAACACCTTGGGGCTGGGGATGTGGCTCAAGCCGTAGTGCGCTTGCCTGGCATGCATGCGGCCAGGGTTCGATCCTCAGCACCACATACCAACAAAGATGTTGTGTCCCGAGAACTAAAAAATAAATATTAAAAAAAATTCTCTCTCTCCCCCCCTCCTCTCTCACTTAAAAAAAAAAAAAAACACTAACACCTTAATATAGGTGCACAGTAAACACTGAAATAAAACAGGCCCAGGTGCAGAGGTGCTTCAGGAGGAGGATTTGAACCAGAAGGTGGTTCAAAGCCAGCCTGGGCAATTTGGCCAGATCCCAAGCAACTCTGCCAGATCCTGTCTCAAAATAAAATATTAAAAGGGCTAGGGGACTGGGGATATTGCTCAGTTGGTAGAGTGCTTACCTCTCATGCACAAGGCCCTGGTTTCAATCCCCAGCACCACAAAGAATAAAATAAAATAAAATGGCTAAGGATGTGGCTCAATGGTTAAGTATCCCTGGGTTCAAACCCCCCCACCACCAAACAACAACAAAAACAAACATGATTTGTTACAAAAACGACAAACACTAAACAAACTCTGAGGCTGGTCCATTAAAATGCACCCCAAGCTCATATTCGTCATTTGCCTTTATTTTCAAGGTAGGTATTCAAAGTACTACTAATAAACTCTTGGCACAGAAATGATTCCCCGAAAGCTTGCTGCCAAACTCAGGACGCTAAGGACCTTTGCTTAGAGAATCCTGCGTCCCTGGAGACCACCTAAAGTGGGTATGCATTTTAAAATGCCTCGAGGAACTAACTATTAGCAAAGAATAATAGAGCATCTTCTGCACACACGCCTTCATAGGCCAACTGTAGATGCGTGCAGAGAAATTCTGTTCCAGGACGCTTTTGCTGAATAGGGCCGAGAAGGAGGGAACCCTAAACAGTAAAAACAAACAAACATACAACAACAACAAAAAACAACCACAAAGGTTCTTCTTACCACTCCAACGACGGGACAGAATTAAAAGACATACTAAGCAGCACTCACAAACAGACCTGACCAACCGCCTCACAGTTGAACAAAATGCGTTCCCGTCCTCGCCGGCCGCGACCTCTAAGGTTAAGCACGTCGAAATTTAAGGAAAGCAAACACCGAGGCGGGGCCCTCCCGACGCCGGGCTGGGCCTGGGCTGCAGCGCAGGGCCGACCCACAGCAGCGGGCAACACCGAGGGCGCGGCGCAGCCCCGGGTGGCGGCCCGCAGGGCGCGCGCCTGGACGCCTAGGTACCGGGCGGTTCGGGGCTCGGACCTCGCGCAGAACAAAAGCGCTGGGCCGCGGCGCACGGCTCAGCCCGCCAGCGCCTCGGGCTCCCCCTGACCCCGCCCCGCCTGGGATCCCCCAAGAGGAGCCCGCGGCCAGGGTCCCGACCTCACACTTACCGAGAAGCGCTGAGGACGGCGTTCAAACCAAACCCTGAGAAGCGGGAGAACGCCCCCGGCCTCCCGGGACCCGGAGTTTAAGTCAAGTCGGGTCCGCCCCTAGGGGTGGGGCGAGGAGCGAGTCTCGGGCTCCCAACAGTTGAGCCCCGCCCGGGCCGGCGGCAGCGCGTGCCTCGCCGCCGCGGTCCTAGTGCCGGGTAGATGAGCCTCCGCTACGCAAAGCTCAGCCAATAGCCTTAGGTTTGCAAAACTCTTTCATTTGTTTGTTGGGATAACTCGAGCGGTCCGATAACTTTTAATTTGTGCCCGAATTGTTATAGAGGAATCGCGTGGAGCTGAAGCGACCATGTGATCCCCTGTGTGTACCAGCAGGAAAGATTGCAAACCAGACGCACAGAATAGCAAGCAAGAGTTTATTAGCGGAAGCCTGCTATGGTGATGTTACGCCTTTAATCCCGACAACTCCAGAGGCTGAGTGTCTCATTGGGCAAAGGTGCGACTTATGCAGTTGAGGGGTAGAAATTTAAAAAAAGGTCCACCTGCTTCAGCGCTTTTCAATGTTTTATTCACTCACGTTACTCAAAATAATTTCACTCTATAGGTTCTTAACCAAGAAAATGGCAATCCTTCATGCTGGGCACTACAAACACTGCAATAGGCACAATTAATTCAAAGCAAGCAATTCTAACTCTAAGGACCGCAAACACACTTAATCATAACAGACCCATTACAGATATTTCTTCTGCATGCTAAGCTTAAGTGGTCCTTGCTTAGCATCTGGATGGCCATTTTAAGGAAAAAAATTCGCTTTCTTACCCAGGGGGTGTTTCTGAGAAAGGATCAGCACTCATACCAACCCAAGCCCTAACCTCCCACATTAGTACCTGCCCAGCTCTAATGCCTGAGCCTGCCCCATAAAAGTCCCAGAACCCAAGCTTGTTTTGCCTCTCTCTTTGCTATAGACAGATGGCCTTTATTTGTCAACTCTGACAAATACACGCTCATGCGTATCTCTGCCTGGTCTCCATCTTTCATTTCTCACTTACCCATCTCTCCTTCCTCACTTTCCCTTCAAGTGCTAGATCTAAAGTCTTAAGGCTTAAGTCCAGCAGATGCACACTCACTCAGACTGCAGTGATCAAGTCTGGAACCGAATGAGGCTTCTCCTTGTGTGGAGTTGAAGACTGGTTGAGGAGATGGTGGTAAAGGGATGTGGCCCTTCTCTCCACAGTCAAGAGGCTGCTGTAGAGTTTGAGAGCAGTGAGGACAGATGGAGAGGATAAGGCAGATGAAGAGAGGAGTTGTCAGTCCAGGTCCTCATCAGGTTCTCAGGCCCGTGTGCATCAGTATCTGCTAGCTCAAATGTCTGTTCATTTGCTCCATTATTTATGCTAAATTTGGGAGCATCTGCACACCCCTTTGGTCCCTATTAGCTGTTACCAGGTTTCTTAGTGACATCTTACATCTTAGAGTCAGTACATAAGGTCTGGTCGTTTCCACCCAGATATTACCCTTCTGACTCCTTATCAAATTTAAGGCAAATGACATGTTTATGTAAAGTGACTTCACTCTGATTCTTATCAGGGTTGTGGAAAGTGACTTGTTTTATCAGGCTATGCCTGATGACATTGGAGGGCTCTGTAGGCTTGTGCCTGGTGAGACTGCAGGTTTATTTTAAAATGGAGTTGCTTAAGCTAAGGCTATCGCTACACTGAGGCAGGAGAATTCCAAGTCCAATGCCACCCTTCACAATTTAGCAAGGCCCTGACTCAAAATTAAAAATAAAAAAGATTTCGGATGTGGCTCAGTGGTTAAGCACGAAGGAAGGAAGGAAGGAAGGAAGGAAGGAAGGAAGGAAGGAAGGGAGGGAGGGAGGGAGGAAGGAAGGAAGGAAGGAAGGAAGGAAGGAGAAAAGTAAGCACACCATAGGCCCTGAGCAGAAAAAGTCATGGCTCTTTAACTCTAGGTATCCACAGAGTCTGTTTCCTCATACCCCCACTGATCAACAAGTTATTTATTGTCATTCTGTACAGGGCCTTAGCAATTCTTTTTCTTCTCTCTCTCTCTCTCTCTGCGTATGTGTGTGTGTGTGCTGGGGATTGAACCTATAGGACTCTATCACTGACCTTCCAACCACTTTTCAATTTTTTGAGACAGGGTCTGACCTTGAGTTTGCAATCCTCCTGTTTAAGCCTCCTAAATTGCTGGTATTACAGGTGTGTGCCTTTAGGCTAGGCAACAAGTTTTCTGTTATGGTGGTAATGACTGGGTCATAGGAGATAGTTCTGATAGGGTTTTTTTTTTTTTTTTTTTAAAGAGAGAGTGAGAGAGGGGAGAGAGAGAGAGAGAGAGAGAGAGAGAGAGTTTTTTTTAATATTTATTTTCTAGTTCTCGGCGGACACAACATCTTTGTTGGTATGTGGTGCTGAGGATCGAACCCCGGGCCGCACGCATGCCAGGCAAGCCCGCTACCACTTGAGCCACATCCCCAGCCCGTGATAGGGTTTTAAAATAATAGTTCCTTTAAGGTGCTATAATTAACTATGGCCTAGGGTGGTTTGAAACACCAGTTCCCTTTTTTTTTTTTTTTTTTTTTTTTGGTGAATTTTAAGTGAACAGATGCTTGTCTTTTTGTTCCGATTTTCTGTTTTAATCAGTCCTGTTATCTATGTACTTGGTCTCTGATGTACACACTTGATATCTTCCATAAAAGTTTTTTCCTTATTGTCCCTCTTGCCACTGGCTCATAACTAACTACCTACTTAATAAAGAATTAACATGAATTTTTTCTAGAGCTTATTAAAAAGAGATGAAGGGCCAGGCATAATGGTGGACACATGTAACCCCTATCGGCTCTGGAGGCTGAGGCAGGAGGATCCTGAAGTTCAAAGTCAGCCTCAGCAACTTAGTAAGGGCCTAAGCAACTCAGCAAGACCCTGTCTCTAAATAAAATATTAAAAAAAAAAAAAAGGCTGAGGATGTGGTTCAGTGGTTAAGTGCCCTTGGATTCAATCAATCCTTCACACCAAAAAAAAAAAAAAAAAAGATATGAAGGGTTGAGCACACCATCAACTGGAAAAGCTGAGGAAGGAAGAGCTCACTTTCAAGGCCGGCTTTGGTAACTTAGTGAGACTCTGGCTCCAAAAATAAAAAGGGCTGGAAATATAGGTCAGTGATAAAGCACTCTGGGTTCAATTCCCTGGTAAAGAAAAAAAAAAAAAAATGGGGGAGAGAATTGAAGTAGGCCATCTGCAAAATCGCTGACTCAGTAGATTTGGAGTAGGGCTAAAGATTTTTATTTATAACAAGTTGCATTTCTGACAGTTGCAATTCTATAAAGAGGAACAGTTGCTGCTGGCCTCAACTGTTGATCTAGAGTAGGAAACAGCTAGCATTTTCTATGAAGTATGTGAAAGAAAGTATACAAAGAGATACATAAGGGGACAGTATTAGATATGGAAAATGACAAACTCCCAAATAGTGAGGCCTGAGAAAAATGAGTGAAAAAGAAAGCCATACATTAATAGCTTTCATCTCTCCTAAAATAAATCCTTTCCAGATGCTGGCCACAAGCAGGGAGAAGGTGTTTCATCAAACCTAAAAATTATATTCTCTGGGAAGCATTAATCACTCCTAAAATAAATCCTTTCAAGATGCTGATCACAGACCCCCCCCAATCCAAAAATTTAAATTTCTGAGTGCTCAAAGGGACACATTCATTAATTGATAAAACAGATCCCAAATTTCCAAGTGCCCAAACTGACACGCTCACTAAATCACCTCTCAGTCCCCTCCTTTGTTCAGTGGCTCATTCCACCAGGAGAGTGGGTCCAACAGCATCACCTCATCCCTGCTATTAGATATGGAAAATGATAAACCCCAGAAGTTGTGAGGAGGGGTGGGTGAGAAGAAAAGCCATAGATTGAGAGCAGTGATCCTTTCCCAATACATTCTTTCCTGGTGGTAAAACAAACCCTGGGGAAGAGGTTTCCATCAAACCTGGAAAGGCAGGGAAGAGGCCAAAGCATTAATCCTTCTGGTAACAAATCCTTTCCAGATACCAACCACTGACCCCAGGCTCTCCATCAGGTCTAGTAAGATAAATCCCAGAAACTCACCACTGACCCTAGACTCCCTCCCATTTTGCCCCATAAAACAGACCCCAAATTCCTAAGCACTAAAACTGACCCCTTCACTGATTGATAGAACCAACTCCAAATTCCTGGGCGCCCAAAGAAAATTGATGTGCTCACTAGACCACCTCTCAGAATAACCTATATAATCCCAGGGCCTTTCTTTGTTCGGGGGCTCATTTTTCCACCAGGAAAGTGAGTTCCACTATGATGTCTTTTCGTCCCTGTATCCCCTGCTCCCATGTGAAACTTCATTCTAATAAAAAGCTGAACTGATTTGTGAAGTGTGCGTCCAGCCTGATCTTTTTGTTCTAAGAGGGGTTTTGGGTTTTTGTTTTTTTAGGCTATTACTGTAGGGAGAACATCCATTATGCAGGGGAATCTTGAAGAAAATTGACCTGGGATTTTTATAAAGGAAGTAATCAGAATCCTGTTTAAGGAAGGAGAGCAACAGAAGTCTTTAGTTCTTGTCTCTGCAATGCTGTAACTAAACAAACTGGGGATCTTGTGGGAGGAGACCGTCATTTCATCTCACTGTTTACTTTTCTCATCTATAAAGTGGGGTTAACAAGCCTCAGGATTTTTAGATATTTATATGAATTAATATGCAATCCTCATTTAGAACAGCTCCTCTAAGGGTGCCACACTTAAGCTTAGATATGGGATTTCTAGGGCCTAACCACACAAGTCAACAAGTAAAAACAAATTTTAAGGGAGAGTGTTGTTGCCAGAAAAATCTGGTACACACCCCATACAGCCTAAGGAATGCTAAAAGGCCCAGCAAAAGTTCAATACCTGGGAGTTACAACTCCTTTGGGGCCTAGGTTGCTGCTCTCTCTGCCATGTGTCCTTGACAGACTCCCAGTGAAACTGGGACTCTGCTGAAATTGAGAACAACTTCCTTGCACTGAGAGTAAAGGCTGAAGAACTGCCCCAACCTGCCCTGGGAGATGCCCAGGAAGCTAAGAATGTAAATTGACCCCCTCCCCCCGCACCAAGCCAGGCTA